CCTGCATCTCCACCCTGGCTTTTCCTGCCTCTGTCTTCACCTAGCTTTCTCTCTGTCCAGCATCCTCTTCGCCATGGCTCTGGTTGTCCAGCATCCGGGCTCTGCGTCCCCCACCTAATCCACCTCCCTCTGCTGGACTTGATGTCACATGAATGTTCTGTTCTGTTTGGTTTTGTTTTAGTTTTTCTTGTTTGGCCTGTTCCGGAGTTCTTTTTGTTTAATAAACACTAATGTGCTGCATTCTGTCCTGTGATCCTGAGCCCGTCTTTATTTTGCAACCAAGCTGTGACTAATAACTCCTGTCTACAGTAACTGTTGTCTGTTTCAATAGTGTTTCATTTTTGTGTTGCATTTAGGTCTTTTCAGAGACAGATTTCATATTATGTTGAAGGTAAAACAACACTTTTGTTTCATTTCTCAGAATTGGTTCATCAGGATTAGCTGCAGTTCATCAGATCTTTCTCTACTAAAAGGAAGAAAGTAAATCAAGTTTCAACATATGCTCACAGACCTTCAATCAAATAATATTTTCAGCTGAACATGGACCTGCTTACGTTTGTTTTTGCGGCTGTTATTCTAGTTGTATCTGATGGTATGTATAATATTTTTCTCTTTATGCTAATTCTGGAGAAAAAAGCACAAAATTAATTGTCAAATTATGTTCAATGTGGAAACACACTAAACAAAATTTGTTTCATTTGTCAAATGTTGATTACTACATAATTTCTATAGTTTGTTTCATGTGTTAAAATGAAATATAAATATTAAGAGCAAATTTAAATGAATCTCCCTTTTATACATTAAACATGTTTCTGATTTATTTAGCTTTTAGCACTTTAATTTATTTGAGACATGACAATGAGATTTATGTCCACAGCTTTTATTAATTTATTCTGTCATAGTTCTAATAGTCCTCTATAATGGTACACCTGTGGACTCACATTTCAATCAAAATTTTCAGCTGAACATGGACCTGCTTACATTTGTTTTTGCGGCTGTTATTCTAGTTGTATCTGATGGCATGTATAATATTTTTCTCTTTATGCTAATTCTGGAGAAAAAGGCACAAAATGAATTGTCAAATTAATTATGTTCAATGTGGAAACACACTAAACTAAATTTTCATTTGTCAAATGTTGATTACTACATAATTTCTATAGTTTGTTTCATGTGTTAAAATGAAATATAAATATTAAGAGCAAATTTAAATGAATCTCCCTTTTATACATTAAACATGTTTCTGATTTATTTAGCTTTTAGCACTTTAATTTATTTGAGACATGACAATGAGATTTATGTCCACAGCTTTTATTAATTTATTCTGTCATAGTTCTAATAGTCCTCTATAATGGTACACCTGTGGACTCACATTTTACTGTGAAGCATTTTGTTTTTCTCAGGTTATATTTCCTGGTTGCCTGATCTGATCAGCTTTACAACTTTTTTGTTATTTTTTTATTTATTTAAAGCAGCTCTTTTGAACTCTCATGACCACAATTTGTTTAAAAATATCTGATATTAGAAATATAATTAATTTGTTACAAGGATAACATGGGAAAGAAACCTTTTGTAGGGATTTTTATTTATTTTTAAGAAGAACCTAAGGAACTACTATGCACACTTTTACAGTGAAAAAAAAATCATATGCATAAAATATGCATGGTTTACATAAGATTTTGTGCCATCTAGAGTAAAGAGGAAAAAAATAATACACTGTTAGGATTGGCTAGATACTTAATCATGTCAATAATGATAATTACCTCTGTATGTTTCGATTTACACTAGAACAAACTACAAACCAAGCATCATTTCTGACTCTGTTTTAGGGTTGATTGTGCACGGTCCCTCAGGTCCTCTGGTTGCTCCTCTGGGGTCTTCAGTGGTTTTGCCCTGTTATGTTGATGAACTCTTACTAATGGAGGATCTGGAGGTGGAATGGAGAAGAACAGACTCAGATACTCTGGTTCATCTGTATCAAGATGGTGAGAGTCGACCAGAGACCCGGCAGCAGGATTATCATGATAGAGCTCATTTCTTTACTGATCAGATTCAACATGGAAACTTCTCCCTCCGTCTGGACAATCTGAGAGCTCAAGACAAAGGGGTTTACAGATGTAAGGTTCACAGTCAGCAGGATTTCGGTGAGATTGTGGTTGAAATAAAAGATGTTGGTAAGTAACAACCCAGTTACTTCTAGTAGAAATTCAATCTAGTATTTCATTAAAATATGTGATGCTCATATTTCATGTTTATTTTTGTTCTTTCAGACCATTTGCTAGTATCAGGATCGAGTCGTTCCATATCTGTGTCTGTGGGTGAGGACATCACTCTGAACTGCTCTGTAGACTCTCACATCACACCTGAACACATTGAAGAGATTTCATGGAAGAAAACAGATGAAGATAAAGATATTCTGGTTCTTCTCTACCAAAACAATCAGACTTTATCAGATTCATCAGATGAGCGATACAGAGACAGAGCTGAGTTCTTCACTGCTGAAATCCCCAAAGGAAACTTCTCTCTCAGACTGAAGAGTGTCAGAACTGAGGATAAAGGAGTTTACACGTGTCAAGTGTTTGCTGAAGGACTTTCAGCCAATGCAACTGTAGTACTGGAGCGACTGGGTGAGTAACAGATAAATAAGTTGGCTGCCATGTTAATATTACATGACCAGCTAAATGCTACTCACTTTATCTTGGTAAAATCTTTTTATTTGACACTATTATAAGAATAAATTAATACTGGGTGACAAATACATCTGTAAATAGATTTTCTATACAGTAACATAAGTAAATGTAAACATCTATTACATGATGTTACATCAACAGTATAAAGACACATGACCTCAGCCAGAAAAAAACAAAAACAAAACATATACAAGACGTTATAATATGTCTTGTAGTTCAAACCATCTTATTATTATCATGGGATTTATATATTTATTTTATACTTAAGTCGTTTTTATTGAGGGTTAAAGTTTGGTGAGTTACAGCTTCAGCAGCAGTTTTCCCCTGCTGATTGATGCCATTATGGAGCAAAAAAAAACAAAAAAACATCTTTCTCAATTAACGGAGTAATACATTTCAGCCAGTACATTGGTGGGTAGCATAGATATAACATACATGTGGTAGTCCACATCTTACAATAGCTATGTCAATGTTTCACAGGTTTCTCTGTTTCACACATAATGGTGTTGATTCTCTGTATATCTGCATCTGGATCTGCACTCCTGCTCTGCTGGCTGATCTACTGCAGATCACACAATGAAGGTTTATAACAACAATAATATTAATAATAATAATCTCTGAATTTTAGTCAGAGATATCAGCAAATATCAGCAACTTTTATTTATTTATTTATTTTTAAATTGACAAAGTTCTTCTCTCTGTTTGTAGGCACAACTCTGAAACTGCAAGTTTCGCTTTCCATCTGTCCAAACATTACTGTGTTTTTTACTTTCGTCTTTTGGGGTTTCACTAAAAGTAGATATTTTACTTGCACAGTTGGGGAAACCAACATTCTTCTCTTACTTTAATTCAGTTATGTTTTATATTTGATTGTAAATTGGTCAAATCTGTACATTCAAGCTTTACATCACTAAAGAAAAGTCAGATTACATGCTGCCTACTCTATGTTCGTTGGTATATTAACTTCACTTTGATTTCTTTTCAGGATTTTGGAATGAGATCATCATTTGTTGAGGCCTCTTATGTTGTTGAATGCTGCTCCATATCTAAATAATCTTCCAAGTATGTTTTATTTTAAAACAATAGGAGAGCAACCCATCTAAACATTGCTTTACAGAGCTTTACAGAGCGTTTCACTTCTGATGCAGATTTTAACATACAGTACCCTTCATTTTTACAGGCATTAGAAGAGGGATTAAGCTTGTGAGTGTTGATGTTGAATATGCAGTTTTTTCAATAGTTTTTTATAGAGGTATGCAAAACTAAATATCCTATAAAAGAGCTGGTCCATCATTGATTATGTATTTGCAGTTGCTGATGTTTGCAGTTTTATCTTTTGTTAATATGTCATGTGTGTCAGATTGAATCTGCAGCTATATTGCGTGATCATACAAGCTTGGAAACACAAAACTGCATGTTTTAAACATTATACTCCTGTTCTTAAAGGAACACTCCACTATTTTTTGGAAATAGGCTCAATTTTGCAACTCCTCTTGAGTTAAACAGTTGAGTTTTACCGTTTTCGAATCCATTCAGCCGATCTCCGGGTCTGGTGGTAGCACTTTTAGCTGTAGCTTAGCATAGATCATTGAATCTGATTAGACCGTTAGCATCTCGCTCAAAAATGACCAAAGAGTTTCTAGAGTTTCAAGAGTTTTCTTAGTACACGATGTAACTACAGAAGAGTCAAGTTTTAAATAGGAAAAATATAGAAACTCTTTGGTCATTTTTG